TGGCCCCAGGTGAGGGCAGGGCCGCCCAGGCCCCGGGGCAGGGCACCTGGAGGGCGGGACCTCTGCGGGGCAGCCAGCCGCCTGCACACACCAGAGGGAAGGTTTTAGTGGCAGAAGCGGGCGGGGCCGCTGGCTGAGGAGACAGGAAAGCGGAGTGGAGAGGCACAGACCTCTTTACAACCAACTAAACAACAAACAGTGGGCGTGTCATTTTAAGTCATAAATAAATAAGTCCAAATTGTGGCAGAGCGGAGAAGGGAAAGGAGGGTTGGGATACTTGAACCAAATTCTCACATTCCATAGCGAAGTACACTATTATAATATACATTCTTTTATACCTAATTGGTACATATTAATAATATATTTACATAACATGACAAATATCCTGTAATATATAACACTAATATAATACTATTGGGCTTATCAACAGAGGAACTCAAAACTGAACATAGCAACGTGGGCAGGGGCGGAGAAAGGACAGTTAGCTTCTGCCATAAATTCTTCAGTTTTAGAGACTTTGTTGTTGACATGTTGCGGATTTGTAAAAATATTATGATGTGATTTTTTTTTTTAAAAAAAAGGAAACTGAAAAGAGAGCACTGACCCCACAGATGATGGTGCCGTGTGGGAGGCAGTGGAGCGTGGTGGCTAAGCATGAAGTCGGCCCGGATGCTAAGGCCAGTTAGGCCACTCCCTCGCTGTGTGACTCTGAGAAAGTTGCTTAACGTCTCTGTGCCTCGGGTCCTTCAACTGTAAAATAAGTGTCCACCTCATAGAGTTGTTGCAAGGACTGGAGGAGTTAGCACAAGTAACGCAGTTAGGACCGTGCCTAGCGCACAGCACTCCACTGGTGCAGCTGTTATTCCTACAGAACGTGACACAGCCATTTAAATCCACGGGAGAACGCCATGAGTCCACCTTCTGTATAAAAAGCAGGATAGGACACCATGTGTGCGATTTTATTTCCATTATGTGCATGTGTATGTGTGTGTCTGCAAGTAAATGTACACGCACACATCATACATGCTGTGCACACGTGCATATACCACAGGTTTCTCCACCTTGGTACTGCTGACATTTGGGTCGAGTAATTCTTCAGTGAGGGGCCGCCGTGTGCATTGTAGGATGTTTAGCAGCATCCCTTCTACCCCTGTGGCAACCTCCCTCAATTGTGACAACAAAAAATGTCTCCAGACATCGCCAGGTGACCCCTGGAGGACAATGTCGCCCCTGGATAAGGACCACTTGTAGAAAGGGCCAGAAGGAAGGACAACAAGAGATTAGCAGAGAAGAATAAAATGGGAGGAGGGAGCCCAGACCCTGGTGAGCCCGCCATGGTGTTCCGGGCGCGGCCTTGGGGTCACTAGCATCCCTGTTGCGTCACACGGGCTGCAACCTCCTGTAAAGGAGAAGCCCACTGGTGACTGGGGGAGGGCCACGCCAGCACCGTCAGAGTAACCTAATACCCATCCTGTATGAGGGGTTTACAAGTACCGGCCACTAGGCTAAGTACTTCACCTCCTCCATTATTGTATTCAGTCCTAACAAAGATCAGAGAATTTACAGTGTGGCAAGCACCAGGCACTATGCTAAGTACTTCACCTGCTCCACTCGATACTAAAAAGACTAGGAAATTGACACAGGAAGGAACTGAGGTCCAGAGAGGTGAAGCAATGTGACCAAGATTGTACCACAACCCAGAGGGTAGATTTGGCTGCCAAGTCCTGACCCAGTGCTGACCCTTCTTTCTTCCCTCCAGGACTCCAGGCTGCTGGCCTTGTCGCTCCCCCGCCTCTTGGCGTCCCCTGCCCAGAATGGAGCACAGCCTGGGGCCCCTGCTCGACCACCTGCGGGCTCGGCGTGACCACCCGCGTGTCCAACCAGAACCGCTTCTGTAGACTGGAGACCCAGCGCCGCCTGTGCCTGCCTGGGCCCTGCCCACCTGCCAGGGGCCACAACCCCCTACTCAGTGCCTTTTAGAGCCGGCCCAGCGGGCAGCCATCCAGCTCCGGTGCTGCCTCTGGGCCCTGGAGGACAAGAATGTCACAGCAGCCTGGGCCCTCTGGACCCTGAGATAGACCGGGGATGCATGCCTTCGTCCTGTTCCCTCTAACTCCCAGCCTGGGGCGGGGGGGGGGACCAGTTTCTAGGGTCTTCTGCTCCATTCCCAGCCTGCACACAGTCTTTATCCAAGGTGCACGGGGCTAGCTTGTCAGGAGATGGGGCGGCCATCTCTGCTTAACCATCAGGCTCAGGCAGGTACTGGGCTGCACTGCCCAGTTTCCTGGGGTGTGGGAAGAGGGGCACAGATCTGAATCTCCTGCATCCTCTCCTGTGGTGATGCAGACACCTCCCTGCGCCTGCGCCTGTGCAGGAAGCTGGGTGTGGGGCGCTGTCTGAGAAAGCCTTCCCCATCCCGGGCAGAATTCAGGGGCCGAATGCTTTGTGAAAATCGCAAGACGAAATCATGTCTTAGGAAGGTCCATTACACTCAGCTTGCATCGTGAGCATCACCTTCACTGAGCGCCCGCGTGCCGGCATTGAGCTAGGCACTCCGCATAGATCCGCGCTTTGCAATATTTCGGATTCAAGCAAAGCAGGGGAGAGTGTCCTCGGGGACTGGGGAACATGGTCTGAAATAAACCAGCCCACGTGTGAAGTTCTGTTTGAAGTCTCGTGTTTAATTGTGTAAAAGACCTTTCCTATAAGTTTATATCCTCCTCTGTGACCTACTGTGTTTGTTCGAAAATAGAAACTGCGTTTTCTTCAGGATTCAACAAGGAAATTAGAAAACACACAGTCAGACACACAGGTCTTACGTGTAGGATTGAACGAGTTTTCATAATGCACACACCTATGTAACACACACCGCAATCCAGGCATAAAACATTCCCACTGCCTCCGAGCTTCCTCCCGCCCCTCCGGACGCACCCCTCTGCTTCCTGAGGGCTGATTGGCTTCTGTCACCACAGACCAGTGTTGCCTGTTCTTGAACTTCACATAAATAGAATTGCACAGTAGGTACATTTAATGAATGGCTTCTTCTGCTCAGTACCAGCTCTGGGGTAGAGGGGCCGAGGGGCTGAGGGAGGGCAGAGTCCAGAAGCCAGGACCAGCCAGCGGGAGATGGAACCACAGCAGGGCTGTCTGCCTGGAGCAGGAGCCTCTGAGGAGATGCAACCATGTAGACCAGTGATGGCGAACCTTTTGAGCTCGCGTGTCAGCATTTTGAAAAACCCTAACTTAACGCTGGTGCCGTGTCACATATAGAAACTTTTTGATATTTGCAACCATAGTAAAACAAAGACTTATATTTTTGATATTTATTTTATATATTTAAATGCCATTTAACAAAGAAAAATCAACCAAAAAGAAATGAGTTCGCGTATCACCTCTGACACGTGTGTCATAGGTTCGCCATCACTGTTCTATGCAGTGTCTCACTTGACCCCACTATAACCCTTTAAAGTAAGTATAAATGTGCCCATTTCATAGACAGAGACACTGAGGTACCGAGAAATTAAGGACATAGCCCAAGTGTACAACAGTTCAAAGTTGGCAAAATCAGTATTCAAACCCAGAGCGCCAGCTCCAGAACCTGCGCTCCTGGGCACCAGGCCACACTGACCAAAGGCACTACAGTGTTCGGGGGTAAGGTGCCAGGGCCTGGAGGAGACACTGAGAGTGGGAAGGAAGAAACGGAGGAGAGAATCCGCAGGGCCTGCCCACACTGGCGGATCTTGTGTGAAGGATGGACATGACGAGCAAGGAGACGAGACCCGAAACATGTCCCTGGGCTTTCTGCTGGCGGGTGGGGAGGAAGGGGGCCGTGGACAGAAGCCAGGAAGAGCAAAGGTGGGCCCCACAGCTGGCAGGTAGGAGAGGGCATTTCAGGTGTTTTAAGTTTGAAGATGAAGTGGTCACCAGGACAAGGGGAGGTTGGAAATCAAAGATGGGTCAGGTCTGACACAGAGAAGAGTTCAGGTCGAGAATTTGAGTCATCTGCAGAAAGGAGAGGAGCAGGGAATGAGATTGGAAGGGCCAGTTTAGTTAGGGACACAGACAACCAGAATGTGTGTCCGTTGGTGTGTATAACCCGTTATCACCCCACCCGATCCCACTGCTCCCCGCTGGCCGGGCCATCGTCAGCTCTGCCCAGATGATGTAGTAGCCTCCTCCTGGTCTCCTGGCTTCCACTCTTGCCCCTTACAGTGTGTGCCAGAGGGACCCTGTTAAAACCAAGCCAGACAACACCACTCCTTTCCCCTCTGAGAAAAGCGAAAGGCCTTCACACAACCTGCAAGCCCCCACTCTGCCCCAGTCAGCCCTCTGTCCTCGCCCCCAATTACTGTCCCTCTTGCTCATGCTGCTCAGACCTCACGGCCTCCCTGCTGTTTCTCAAACACATTAGACATGCACCCACCTCAGGACCTTTGCACAGGCTGTTCCCTCTGCCTGACATCATCTTCCCCCAATCTCTCCAATGCATGTAGCACATACGACCTTTTAACACATTACATGACCTACTTATAACATTTATTATTTTTGCCGAATTACACAAGCCCTGGGACCTTATCTGCTTTGTTCACTGATGAATCTCCGGGACCTAGACTAGTGCCCAGGAGGCTCAGTTGTTATTGAATGAATGAAATAATATATGTTGCTTTTTAAAAGGGGATTTAATGGTGCATTAAAAAGTAAATGTGTAGTTGACAAATGGGAGTGGCTGCCCAGTTCACAGTGATTTCTCAGTGTCATGTCAGCGTGGGTCAGAGCTCACCTCCACCTCTGCCCCAATCATCAACCTCAGTATTTCTGAGTGGGGTACCCAGGCCAGAAGTATCAGCATCACCTGGCACCTGGTTAGAAATGCAAACATCTTGTGGCGCATTCCAGGCTCACAGACTGTGGGGGTGGGGCTCATAAATCTGTGTTTTAATAAACCCTCCACCTCATTAAAATCTAGGTCACATTACAGTGTGACTTCAGACAAGAATCCGAAGAAAACGTGCTGTGCTGCTGCCCCCTTGTGGCATTTTGGTGCATGAACCCCGGAGAGGCCGCCAGCCTGGAGGAGCCCTCACAGACTGGGGTCCAGCTGCCTCCTCTTTCCCCGGTGGAGAAACGGAGTCTTGGGGAAGGGAGGCACCTTGCCCGAGGTCTCAGAGTGGGGCGGTGATAGGTCTAGGCGTAGGACTCTTTCCTATTTGTGACCAATGCAGCAGCTTTCTTTTTTTCAAAATATTATTTAAACAGTGCCATAAGGGCCCCTGCTGGGCCCTGAGCCAGGGCGCCTCCATCTGTCCCCTGGCTGACTCCCTGGTCCCTCTGCCCACAGTCCAGCTCCCTCCTCCCAGCGGCTGTACTGCACAGCCAGAAAGATCCTTCTAGAGCACAATTATGGTTATGTCACTCTGCCTGAATCCCGCTGGGACTCAGCATGGCCCTCTGGGTCCAGTCCAGACTCCTTCCATGACTCACGGGCCTGCTGAGTCTTCCAGTCTCTTCTGTGCTCCAGCCACACTGGACAGCTCAGAGGGCCACGCCCTCTGCCCAGGCCTTTCCCCAGGCTGCACCCTCTGCCTGGGGCACTCTTTCCCCAGCACCTAGAGGACCCCTGATTATTCCTCATTCGTCACAGTTTCCATGTCTACCTGAGGCCGGCCCGCCCCAGTGCCCTGGCTCCTATGCCCTCTCGCCTGCCCGGGGGCATTCTACCCCTCCTCCCCCCACACCTTCCATGTCTCCCTTCCTTCCAGATAACCCCGTCAATATACACCCGTGCTGGTCCTTTCGCTGGTGCTGTGAAGGGTGCAGCCACCAGCCCATGCCCATCCTGGCTACTCTGGTAACAAGAGGTGAAGTGCCCTCTTCAAGGGGCAACTGCAGCAGCCTCGCTGGGAGTACCTGGGAAAGGGAAGGCCACCTGTGGCCACCGTGTCTCATGTGCCATCAAAAGCCCACTTGCCGCTCCATGGCAGAAATGTGGTCTAGGGTCTGAGCCAGCCTCCGCGGGGTCATGATTTAGCTAATTCTCGAGAACGCATCGTTTCCCTCGTCCCCTGCAGTTCATTATAATATCAGGGAGGACCCAGGGCAAGAGCCTAGGCCTCTTGGACACCTTGAGGTTGGCCAAGGAGCCTCGTTGTAAGTGGCCCCATCGCACTGGTTTGTGGCTTCTTGTCTGTGGCCCATTCACTGGTTTCTGGCCCCTCGCCACTGGCTTTCACAAAAACGCTTCCCATCTCATCACTGGGCCAGGTCTTTTCATCCAAGTCCACTCTCTGCTGGATGGGCAATACCTAACATGCGCTTCTTCCGTGGCTTCTCTGCAGCCCTGAGCCAGCAGGCAGCCAAACACAAGTGGTTGATTTTGCCTTTCACATGCTTCTCACCTCAAGGACTGAACCTCCATGGCTCGATTACTCTCCTGCACCCTCCCCTCTCTGAGACATCCCATTCATGGCTGCTTGGACTCCCCTCCTCTCTTGATGCCTGCTCTGTGCTCCACTCTCAGCCTCATAGAAGCCCAAGGTTTTACAACCTTGTGGCAGCCACCCTACCTCCACAACCTCGCCCTTATCCGGGGTCTCAATGCGACCCCTGTGCCATGTAAAGTCCCCCTCGGTCCGTTCACCAGCTCAGCCAGATTTCTCGGGCATTTGAATTTGATCTCCAAAAGAAATACAAATATATTTTAAAATCTCATGTCAACCGTCGTCTTTGTAATGTTTCCTTAATCATTGTGATGTTTGAGCTGCTGGGTCCAGCCATGCCTGAAGCCATACATCCCGACACCGTTTAGCTATGTGACTCAATAAATTCTCTTTATTACTTAAACTAGTTTAATTGGGTTCCTATCACTTGAACTAAAAGAGTCGCAACAAATCTAACTACAGTAGGTCCTCGGGTTACGTCAGAGATCCATTCCTACGGTGCGAGGTAACACCATTTTCGCCCTAAGTTGGAACCCACCTACATAAGCACCTACGTCACTCACATGGAGCACATACACAGCAGTAATGAAGTGAAAGAGTAAAAAAAAAAAATTAAAAGAAACAATTCCTGACCTTTACTTGTGGTAAATAAATAATAAAAAACATAAAGCACATATGTACATACGTCGAAATGGCGGAACATTTTTTTTATATAAATAAATGGGAGATGGCGACGTAACCACAAAACGATGTACGTCAAGTCCGACGTCACCCGAGGACAGTCTGTATATACAGTCATGTACTTACCTGCCCATTCTCGGCTTTTAGGCTGGGCTTTGCACCCTAGACGTTGAGTAGATTTCTGATCATTCCTCTGCCCCTGGAGTCCAGCACGGGGCCTGGTACATGGTCGCTATTTACCTACATGCCTGCTGAACAGTGACTGAGGCCTGGGTTCTAGCCTTGACTCTGCCTCCAGTTTGTGACTAGGAACATCCAACTCTCCTTTCTGAGCCGTTTCCGCCTCTGCACAATGGAGATGGTCATCTTGCCCTGCCCTGCCTGAGAGCGGTGGTGAGGACCAGATGAGCCCGCTTATGAAAGTCCTTGGCAAAAGCTAAAGTTCTGCATACATTCTAATGATATTTTCAAGAATGTACATTTTGTGCTAATTTCATCGCCACCCCCCGCCCCCAACAGCCTATGGGTTCCTGGGGGGCACAAAGCAGA